CCCCCGCGGCGGCAACGGCGGCGGCGGCGGCGGCGGCGGGTGCGAAAGGCGGCGGCGGCGGGCCTGGCGGCGCGAAGTCGGGGCCGACAAAGGGGGCGGCGGCAGGGAGCTTGGGCGCGAGAGAAGGGCAGCAAGCTCGATCGGGCGGCGGCGGCGGCGGCGACGCCGGGGCGCGTGGCCCGAACCCTACGAACTCAGCGGAACCGCGATTTGGACGAGATTTCTCGGCGGTTGGTGGGTCGGACTATCACCCAAGGGGTCCACCGGCGCCGCCGCCGTCTGCCGGGACGTTTCCATTCAACAGGATCGGGTCGGACGGCGTGATGGGGGCGGCGCAACTGAGGAACCATCCCCCGCCGATGTCGATGATGGAGAGGGTGGTCGGCCGCGAGGCAGGGGTGGGGGGAGGGGGGCGGCAGCAGCAGCAGCAACAGCCGTCGCAGCAGCATGACGATTACGGCGGCGGTGGCTCTAGCGCTGCGTCCGCGTCCGGGCGCACGTGGCGCAGCGGCAGCGTCGCAAGCGAGGACGGCGGGGGAAGCATCAGCGCGTCACACCTCGGCGACTCGGAGGACTGCGGCAGCGTGAGCGGCAGCGTTGCCGAGAGCACGGACGGGGACGTCGGGGGGGGCGGCGGCGGCGGCGGCGGCGGCGGGGGGCGGAGTCGGGGCAGAAGCCGCGGCGGGGTAAGCCGTAGGAGGGGAGGGGTTAGGGGCGGCGGCGGCGGGCGCGGCAGCCGGGGGGGCGGGAGAGGAAGCCGCAGCGGCAGGGCGGGGTCTGGGTCGAGGCGGAGAGTCTCGGACGCCGGGGGCAAGCAGCCGAAGGAAGGGTTCGGGCTGGTGGGGAAGACGATCAAGCTGCACAGGGACGACGTGGACTACCCGAACGGTCGGTGGTGCGTGGCGGACGTGCAGCAGTGGAGCCGGACGCAGCAGAAGCACCTGCTGTCTTATCGAGGGGTGGGGTCGGCGTGGCTGCCGCCCGGGTGGCTGAAGCTGGAGGAGAAGAGGAAGGCCGAGGTCGTGTCGGTGCCCCCCGCAGCGGTGAGGGGAAGATTAAGATTGCCGTCGCCCAGGACAAGCGTCTCCTCGCTGCAGGCTGTAGCGGTACTTCGGTTGATGTTTTGCGTTCGTACTGGCTGCTGTAGCGGTACTTTGTCGCTTCCTCAGCGTCCATTCAATCTCGGCCATGTTTTTCAGGAGTCGTGTGTGTCCTTGAGGTTGGATTATTTTGTTCCTGGCTGTTGTTGCACAGAACACGTCGCCGCCGTATTCAGCAGCGCCTGTCGTCGTTGTGCAGAAACGCTCATTTTCAACGGTGAAATCGTTTACGCAGTGTCGGTACCAACCTCCTGCTTGTTTGTAGGTACCATTTCGACTGGTTTGTTTTCGGCAAGTTCTTATGATTTTCCACGCATGATATACTCCTGTATTTTTCCGTGCTTGAGGATGTTCTGTTTTTTGAGATTGTCCCATCAGCCGCGTGTCCCGCAACATCTGACCCCCCCCCCCCCCCCCCCTCTTGAACGAACCCATCAAAACCCCCCCCCCCTCCTCAACTTTGCCGGCCACGTACCGGGGGTAAGGTCCCGTAACAACACGCGCTGCTCCCCCCTCGACTTCTTGGAGGCTCCGACGGTAGTCACGCCCAAAAGTCAGACGGCGAGCGGGGGCAGCAGCAGCAGCAGCAGTCGAGAATCGGCGGCAGTCGCGGCTGCGGAAGGGCTTGCTGTGCTCGCTGCTGCGGGAGAGGCGGCAACGGCGGCTGCTGAGGCTGCCGTGGGTAACGGTAAGCGAGGAGGGGAGGAGGAAGAGGGGGGTGCTTCGCGACGGTCAGGGGTAGCTGGCGGTCCTCCCGCGGTTGGAAGCGGAGAGTCATCTTCCGCCGTCGCCAGCAAGGATGGGGGCTCCGCGGCTGGGCCTCCCGAAGGTAAGGGCAATGGTGATGGTGGAGGGAGCAAGGGCGGGGCGGGGGCGATGCGAGCGAGCGAAGCTGGTGCGGTCACGTCTACGGCGGTTAAGGCTTCCTCCTCGTCTACCGCCGCTACTGCTGCTGCTGCTGCTACCGATGTAGCTATTGGGGACGGCTCGAGCAGCACCTGCCGGAAGGAGAACGGAACGCCGCGACCTCCGGCTGATGATCGGAACGGGAAAAACGATGGGAAAGGCGCGGGAGCTGCTGCGGTGCAGCCTGCGGAATCAAGTGTCTCCGCCACCGCCGACGGCGCCACATCGTTGGACACGCTACCGCCAGCCGCCCCCCAGGCGGCGGCGGCCGCGGCAAGGGCAACCGACGTTGGCGCGAACGGAAGCAGCGGCGCTTCGAGCGGAGCAGCGCCGGTGACTGATGATGTCACCGGGGAGGGGATCGGAAAGCGGGAAAAATCCGGAACGGATGATGCGAAGGCTGCGGCGGCAGGAGATGACGCGGCCGACGCTGTGGTGCCGGAAGGGGTAAGAGCAGTGTCGACTGCGGCGGAGGGAGGCGGCGTGACTCCCTCGGGTACGGGGAAAGACACGAAGCAGGCGACGGCGGACGCCGCAACGACAACAGCGCCAAGCGTTGTCGCCGGGCAGGAGGGGGGGGTTCCGTTGGCGCCAGAGGGGGGCGGGTCCAGCGGTGCTGCCGCCGCCGCAGGCTCGGATGATCTAGAGATGACAGACGTCGTGGCACCCGGAGCCTCATCGAAATTACTCAAGGTCGAGGACGGCGGCGCCGGCGCCTCGTCCACAGACGTGGCGATGTCGGAAGCGGCACCGCTGTCCGCCGCGCAGGGGACGAAGGTCCCGGCAGCGGCCTCCGCAGCGGCGGCGGCGGCGGAAGTTGAGCGCACCCCCAAGCAAGAAGGAGACCCGGCGGCGAGTGCATCAAAGCCGGAGGCGGCGGAAACAGCGGGGGGGGACGCGGCAGGGGAAGAAGGGACCCCGGAGTCCCCCCCGGCGGCTTCCACGGCGAAAAGCGCGCGCGTGGTCGCGCCGCGGGGCCTCGTTCGCCGGGACGGAAACAGCGGCGCCCCCTGCAAGATGTGCAAGTCCAAGTGGGACCGGGACCAGACGCTGGTGTGCTCGACGTGCCTGATGCACTACCACCCGGGTTGCCTCGATCCGCCGATGACGCCGAGAGAGGTGAGGGGGGTGCGGGGATCAGGCCGATGAGAGCAGCGAGATAGGAAACAAGAAAAGGCACACTACAATAGGGGGGTTGCGGACGTTGGTGACTACCGGGGTCTTGTCTGTCTCTCTTTCTTTTTTTTTTGGTGCCGTGCGCTTGATGTATGTAACGCTCGGCCCCGCTCCGCTCCACCCTTGGCTGTTTGGTCGTATTGTGCAGTACTGTTCTCCCTCGGCTCTGTTGGTTGATAACTCGTATTCTTCCTCGTTCCTTGGTTGTTTGGTCGTATGCTCTCCTGTGCCTCGGTTTTCTGGTCGCGTGATCACTTGTCCCTCGCCCCTTGGCTGTTTGGTCGAATCATGCGTGCCCCTTGTGGCTGTTAGTTGGAACGATCCCTCGTCCCCTGGTTAGTGTGCTCGTGGAACTCCCTGTGTCTCGTTTTTCTGGTCGCATAGCCACTTGTCCCTTTGTCCGTTGTTGCCGCCGACCCTCCTTGTCCGTGGGGACTTGTTTTGCTACCGCCCTGGCCCTCAAGATCGCCTCTCACGCGCATTCGAAGGAGGAGTGGCGCTGCGACTATTGCCAGACTTGCCAGGGGTGCGGTAAGGGCAACGAGGACGAGATGAGAAGGGGGGGGGATCCGCTGGTGTGTCACGAGCGGGGGAAGGTGCACCACGTCCACCTCGATGCCCCGGAAGGCTGCGATCCGGGTCCGAGGGCCCAAGAGAAGGTGGGGCGGCGGCGGCGGCGGGTAACGGTAATGTAGTCTACGGATATCGACCGACTGCGGTGGCAGCAGGAGCAGAAGAGAATAACCAAAAACTTTCACCGGTCACCGTTCAACAGATAGCAGCAGCAGCAGCAGCAGCAACACCAGTTGCAACCGACGACAACGAACTGAATAGACAGACAGCACCAACCTACGAAGAAGCGCGAACAATTCTTTACTGCGTAAGTTCGTACAGCGCAGCGGAAGCAGCGGCACCCGCATTGTAACAACAACAATTAGTATTACGCTTGACAGGCGCATCCGACCCCTCGTTCGGGCGAGAGCAGACCGCCGGAGCATCTACGGCGTGCGGCGTTGTTTGAACTCGGATTGAGATCTGCTCCTTCGTGTAATTCGTCGAGCACAAATCACCCTTCACGTGTGACGGCTATCTGTCTTCCCTCGACACATGGATGGAGCCGTTTGTTCTCGTGCCAGTTTCATCCCACTCTATTCGATCATTTCTCCTTTCCTTGTGCCCCCCACCGCTAGTATAACACATGCCGTGTTTGCCTCTTGTTGCACCGCTAGTTGACACATGCCGTGTTTACTTCTTGTTGCCTGTGTATTCTTCCAGATATGGCTGTGTTCACCCTGCTTGGACAAGTACAAGGAGCGAAACTACTGCCCCAAGTGCGGGGTGACGTACGACGAGCACGACAACATGGTGCAAGCCATCGGCTGTGCGGCCTGCGAGTTCTGGGTGCACGCCAGCTGCGAAGGCCTGTCCACGGTGCGTGTGGTGTTGCTCTTTGTCTGTGGGGGTGGTGGTGGTGTTGGCGTTATTTGGTGTCGCCTTCGGATAAGGCCGGTGTTTCGGCTGTCTGGAGTATCAGCACTGCTAATATTGATGCTTGGGGTATCTTGTTCATGTATTTCAGGAATAGCTTTGTCGCCTGGGTCTCCTGTGATGGTCTTTTTTGCTATGGTTGAGGAATATCAGGAGTACTATTGTTTGACGCCTGGGTCGTTTCTGGTGTCTTTTTGCTGCTATTGGTGCAGCGGGGTATCAACAATACCACTGTTGATGGCCGGCTTCGTTCGAGATGTGTCTGTCGCCGTACAGGAGGAGTATCAGGAGTACTTAAGTCGGAAGCCAGGGTCTCTCGCGATATGTCTGTCGCCGTACAGGAGGAGTATGAACAATACCACTGTTGATGGCCGGCTTCGTTCGAGATATGTCTGTCACCGTACAGGAGGAGTATCAGCAGTACTTAAGTCGGAAGCCGGGGTCTCTCGCGATGTTTCTGTTGCTCTACTGTTGCTCTACAGGCGGAGTATCAGATGCTGGTGGACGGCAAGGACAGCTGGTTCGGCGCGGAATATCTTTGCCCCGTGTGCAGGAACCGGGCCATGGCGCACATGCTCGGGGAGCTGCAGGTTAGCATGATCGACTCCCACTCTGTTGGAAAATACGAGGAACTTTCTTGGAACTTTCTTGGAACTTTTGGATACAAATGTGAACATCTCAATTGGCCCCCCATGTTTCCAAACAGGGCGGGGTATGTGCGCTCCAACGAGGCTGCGAGAAAAAAAGGTTCGACACACAAACAGTGTAGTCCCCTTGAGTATGAAGGACCTCTTCCGAGCAGTTGACGTGTTTTTCACACACACACACACCCGAGTTATTCTCACATTCCTCCACCCCACCCAGTATTGTAGCATGCAATGGCGTAGTCCGCATGACCTGACCTCCACCTCTGCCCCCCTCCCCTCCCCTCCCCCCTCGCCGCGGGACCCCCAACACTTTGCGATTCGACCGAACGACCCTGCCTTTTGTGGCCGTTTTGGGGTTTCCTACAGAGAGCGGATGTGGTAGGGATGTTCGCGCAGCCGGTGACGACCGCCATCGCCGCCAACTACTTCCTCGTGAGTCTATTTTACTGGAACCCCCCGATGCGACTTTCTTTTTCTGCTGCGTTGCAATATCGTGTTTGAGTGGAAAACGCGAAGTGGTTTTGTTTTCCTGTCGCGTTGCAACACCTTGTTGGATGGAAATAACGAAGCGGCATTGTTTCCTGTTGCGTTACAGAATCGTGCTGAGTGGAAACCCTGAGCTGCTTTTTTCTTTCGTGTTTGTCGCGTTGAAAACATCGCGTTGAGTGGAAGCAGGGGGAAAGCGCCGAATTTCTCGTCATGCCCTGGTGTTGAGCTTTACCTGCGCGCAGGTGCTGCTGAGCTGTATTGTGTGCCAAGGTGGAGGTTGTTACATCAATGCTGTGTTTGTTTCGATCGGCGTTCACTGCTCACTCATGTAGTTCAACCAGAGAGACGGAGAGGGATGCCTACATGACTACCCAGGTCGGGGAAGATAATTCAAGGGAAACATTAATGTTCCCGGTACGCACGATAGCACATTCTGTCGAGCGCACTACTGCTGGCTGTACTTTGATGATTTTGACAGCGCTCCTTAAACTGACTGACGTGTTCACGCAGATCGTGAAGGAGCCGATGGACCTCAAGACCATGAGGCACAAGGTTCACACCGGGCAGTACAACACCTTGCAGGAGATGCGCAACGACTGCGAGCTCATGTCGAAGAACGCCCTTCTTTTCAACCGGGCTCCGGGCGAGGTAGGTTTGAGCCGAGGTTTCCAGTGAGAACTGGAGGCATGAATTTGTTGGGGTAAGGGGTTTCGCCATTACGAAAGAGCGTCAGGAGATGTGTTGTGTCGCAATGAGGCTTTCACCTAGCGCTCACAAAGCGAAGGTTGTTGTTGTTGCACGAGTTAACACGAAGCGCCCCCCCCCCCCAATCTTGTGTCACTACACAGTACCACAACCGCGCTCGAGACTACTTCAAGATCACCCAGATCGCGTGGGACAGCCTCCAAGCGCAGCCGGCGAACAT